GTAAACCAAGCAGTTAGTCTTTGAACTTGTAATCCTCCTGCCTCTGCCTCCTTGCAGGTGGTGCCTTCCCCTTCACAATAGGAAGAATCGCCCATGGATTCAACATGCGACCAGATCTCTGTGCCCAGGACAATTCATCTGACCCTAGGAAATACCTTGGCTCCTTCTACACAGACTCCCTGGTTCACGATCCTCGGTCTCTGAAGCTGTTGACAGATGTCATAGGAAAGGTAAGCTGGGGTCCCATTTGGATGGCTTGTGGAAAGCAGCAGGCTAGACCAGCAGCCTGCTACTGCTACAGGTTAGACACTTTTGAGGGAAAAGGAAAGTCTGAGTTAGTAAAACATCTGAAATATGTACTATTGCTTCTTGGTACAAGGAGAATTGATTCCAGGACCCCAAAAGGTACCCAAACTCTCAGATGCCCAATTGTTTTATATTAAGTGGTATAGTTTTTGTATATAACTGATACACACCCTTCTAAATGCTCTAGATCCCTTACAATCATAATACAAAGTGGGTGGTGTCTACTTGGTCTACTTTATTCTACTGCTTAGGAGGTAATTAAGCTTCTACATGTTAAAAACAAAAGCTATTTTCCAAAGTATGTTCTCACTGAGTCACTGTGACATATTCACGCGTGCATATGATGTGCTTTGATCATATTGACTCCCATCACCCTCTCTTTCTCCTGTTTTAGTTTTTAATTTGCTTTCTGTTGCTGTGATTAACACCATTATCAAATGTGACTGGGTGAGGAACAGGTTATCCGGCTGACAGGTTAGAGTGCCTTCTAAACTAGGACAGAAGCAGTGCAGGGACCTGGAGACAGGAACTGAAGCAGAAACCAAGGAGGAGCACCACTTGCTCGGTACCTTTTTACACCACACAAACCCACCTGCCCAGGAACGGCCCCGCGCACAGTGGCTGGGCCCTCTTACAGCCACTAACACAGTGCCCACAGGCCAATCTGAGGCAGGCAATGCCTCAATTGAAATTTCCCAGGTAGGTCTAGGTTTGTGTCTGGTTAGATGTCAGCACATAGGACTGGAGAGTGTATAGTAGATGACTAAAGGAGCACAGAGGAGCAATCACATTTCAGTTCCATCCTATTGCACATGCGAATCTGTAGAAGGCTTCCGGTTTCACCCGGGATGGGGAGGGTGGTCTTTTTTTTTAACTTATTTATTTCTATTTTATTGGTGTTTTGCCGGTATGTATGTCTGTGTGAGGGTGTTGGATCCTGGAGTTACAGACAGTTGTGAGTTACCATGTGGGTGCCGGGAATGATCTCTCTGGAAGAACAGTCAGTGCTTTTAACTGCTGAGCCATCTCTCCAGCCCCATACAATTTTCTAAAAGTATCTGGAAATACTGAAAATGGGAGCAAGTATGTAAGCAGGAAAGCAAAAAGGAACCCCAAAGGCAACTGTGGGTCCTGAACTTTTCTCAGCAGAATGGGGAAGAGATGGGGAGCTGGGCAAAGGGCCACTCTGAACAGTGCCCCGTTGAACAGAGTCCTCTAGTATTCTTGAAAATGGAAACATCATGAGAAAAACACCGCCGTCAAGTTCAAAGCCCATCCTCTGAACAATACAACCAGTGATGGGGGGGGGGTGCTATTCCCACTGTGAAATAGTACCCGAGGCAACACACACTAGCTGAAGCAGAAGAGCATGGCAAGTTCACTGTGACCCCAGTGGGTACAGCAGGTAGTGGGCACGTGTGTATACATCCTGAGCAGGGCTCTCAGGGAAGGTAATGGTTCTAGTATCTTGTCCTCACACTGTAACAGCTGGAATGACTTGAATTTGGACCTGAAACCCTCAAGTTTTCTATTCCCTTACAGGCCGGTAGATCCAGGACTTAGAAGCTATTTTCATTATTCTCTTTAAAATAGTAATGCTCTCCAATTCTAGTTACAGTCACTTCAGCAGATTCCCTTTTAAAAACAATCCCCAAATCAGAATGACCCTTTGAACTTTTATTTTTCTGGGAATGTTCCTCAACTACTTCATCACTGGTTGGCCTTTAGATTTTTGCTTATAATTTCTCATGAATTATCACCATTTTTCTGGCCTCAAATAGCTTTATATAACCTGTTTTTTGTTGGGTAGATATCATACATTTTCTTTTTTATTTCATTAAAAAATATTTTCATACAATATATTTTGGCCATTTTCGTCTTCCTCAGCACCTCATAGATCCTCCCTACTTCCCTACCCACCCAACTTTGTTTCTTTGCTCTCTTTCAAAAAAAAAAAATGAAAATCAAAACAAAAGACAAGACAAAAGATGCCCAACAATACATTTTCTTACTTCTCTAAGAATTTCTGCAAGTGTACTTAAGCCTGCATGTCGTGTGTGTGTGTGTGTGTGTGTGTGTGTGTGTGTGTGTGTGTGTGTGTGTGTGTGCGCGCAAACATACACAGGTGCTTGGACATCAGAAGACAACTTCTGGTGCCAGTCCTCACCATCCACCTGTTTGGAGATGGTCTTATCACTGCTGCATCCACCAGGCCCACCATCTTCCCAGGACTCTCCTGTCTCCACATACCCTCTCTTGCTATGGATGTGCTGGGACCATCTGGCTTTACAAAGATTCTGGAAATCCAAACTCAGTGATCTGACATCACTAAAAAGATTCTTTGTCAACAAAGAAAGATTTCACTAGTTCCAGGACTATGGCAGACAGTAGAATGGGACATGTTAATAGAAACACTTCTAAAATGACTGGAGAAAATTGGGGTTCCTGCCCAACTCTCACCCAACTTGACATTTATGTTTATTTTAATACTTCCATCTCCAAATAACTTGGATAAGTGATATCTTCCAATGCACTGCAGTACGAAAGAGGGAACCCTGTTTTGACACCTGTAAGCCTCCTGAGAGGCTTCTAACTCTCCCTCAAGAAGTTGTGGACAACGAGAGGAAATCCTGGTTCTAGCACGCGGTAGCTGTGTGACTATTCTAGCTTCATCTCTGTGGCTGTGATAAAACACCCTGACAAGAAGCAGCAGAGGGGATAAAGGGGTTTCTTTCAGCTTACGATTCCAGGTTACCATCCATCATTGTGGAGAAGTCAAGTCAGGAGCTTGAAGCAGCTGGTCACATCACATCCACAGTGGAGAGCAGCGAGAAATGAATGTGAGCATGCTCACTTGCTTGCTTATGCTCAGCTTAATTTCTCCACTCTTAAAACAGATCAGTACTGCCTACCTCATACTTTCTGCCTCATACTCATTCCCAAGTGCCTCAGTTTACAGGTCTGTGCTATCATAGCTGGCCCTCACAGAACCTTTAAATGGGGCTTTCTAAAATACAGTAGATGTGAAATGCCAAATTAGCACATTCAGACATATGTCTTCAGAAACTGGTTCATAATCTTAGATCCCCAGGGAACAGACTCTTCTGGGAGCAGATGTGATGAGAACCTGACACAGTCTTGTGCATCCCAGGGAGCTCGGACCAGTTGACAGCAGAGCAACTGTCCATATAAGGCCATGCTTAGGCTTCCTCAGCCCCGGATTCTCCCTTATGATTCATTTAATACATAGGAAAATTGCAGCTATAAGATAATAGGTGAATTGGTTACTTTCCTGCTTGTTATAAAATGTCTGACAAAAAGCAACTTCAGGAAGAAAGGGCTTATTTCAGCTCACAGTTCAAGGGTATCATCTATCACAACCGGGAAGGCATTGTTGCAGGAGCAGACATCTCATGGCATCTATAGTGAGAAAGGAGGAAGCGATGAATGCTGGTGCTCAGCTGGACTTTTCCATTTCATTCAGCTCATGGAATAGTACTGTCCACAATCAGACTGAGTCTTCTCATCAATTAACCCAATCTAGATACTCCCTCATGGACATGCCCAGAGGCTTGTCGTCTAGGTGATTCTAGATGCTGTCTAATTGATGATCGATATTAACCATCATGACGAGTGAAGAAGCAGCAACTTTTCAAAGTATTTTTACTCGAGTATTTATTAAGCATCTATCAAGCAGAGAGGTTATCAACTGATGGGTGGGTGTGTGCTCTCCTTCCTGCAGAACCACACAAATCTTGAGGAGTCTCTTCCCCTTACTTCCTCCCTGCTGCAATCTCCTTTTCCTCAAAACAAGAGCTCCACATTAACAAGACTTTCATTTCTAGTTCTCTTGTGCCTACTTTCTTGTACCTAATATTTCAGGACTAATTACATCAGGGTTCCTTCTTTCATACATTCAAACATTAAAAAAGATGTTGGGTTTTTATTGTATAGTGTATATATGGGGATGTGGTTATGTGCACACGAGTAGCACATTCTACAGTGGCTAGAAGTCAGATCCCCAGGAGCTGGAGTTACAAGGCATTGTGAGTAGCCTGAGATGGGTGCTGGGTGTGCTGATATTGTGTCCCGCAATATATTGTGCACCCTAATAAACTTATCTGGGGTCAGAAAACAGAACAGCCACTGGATAGACATAGAGGCCAGAAAAAATGGTGGCACACACACCTTTAATCCTAGCCTTCTGGAAGCAGAGATCCATCTGGATCTCTGTGAGTTCAAAGCCACATTAGAAATAGCCAGACATGGTGATACACACCTTTAATCCCAGTACTTGAGATTTCATATCTTGCTTGGGAATGACACACGCCTTTAATCCTAGGAAGTGATGGCAGGAAGCAGAAAGGTATACAAGGTATGAGGACCAGGAACTAGAGGTCTTGTTAAGCTTTTAGTCTTTTAGCAGCAGTTCAGCTGAGATCCATTCGGATGAGGACTCAGAGGCTTCCAGTCTGAGGAAACAGGATCGGCTGAGAAGTTGGCGAGGTGAGGTGGCTGTGGCTTGTTCCGCCTGTCTGATCTTTCAGCATTTACCTCAGTACCTGGCTCTGGGTTTGTTTTTATTAATAAGACCTTTTAAGATTCATGGTACAGTTGGGAACTAACTCAGTCCCTCTGCATGAACAATACAAGCTTATAACCACTTAGCCATCTCTCCAGCCCCACACCCATTCAACAAATTGTTCCTTCAACTCATTCACACATTTACTAAAGCAATTTTCAAGTTGATTATAAGCATGTGTGTCAAAGTTATATTCCAACCATCTCAAAAGAAGATTTTTCTTACAAGTCCAATTCCAATTCAAAGAATTTTTGTTGTTGTTGTTTTTCGAGACAGGGTTTCTCTGTGTAGTTTTGGTGCCTGTCCTGAAACTCGCTGTGTAGACCAGGCTGGCCTCCAACTCACAGAGATGCACCTGGCTCTGCTTCCTGAGTGCTGGGATTAAAGGCATGCGCCACTGCCACCTGGCTAGTTCAAAGAA